GTGGCTCTCAAAAATAGTAAGAAATAGTTCTTAAAAGGTACAACAAACAAAGCTGGGCATGGTAGCACAAGCCTTTAATCCCAGCATTCAGGAGGCAAAGTCAGGTGGATCACTGAAAGTTCAAGGCCACCCTGGTCTACAAATTGATTTCCTGGACAGCCAGAACTACACAGTGAAACCCTGTCTATCTTCCATGACCCCCACCACCAAAAAAAACAAAAACAAACAAACAAACAAAAAGGTAGTACAAATGGCTCAGTGAACAGAGATGCTTGTTGCCAAGCTGTGGGCCTGGGTTTAATGCCTAGGGCCTATATGTTGTTCTCTGACCTCCACTTACGTGCCAGTACCACTACATTCAAAAAATAGATAAATAAATGACAAACAGTTCAGTCTAAACTGATGGATCTTCCTCTCAGTCCTTTACTTACTCTCTAAAAGCTGTGTGAAGCATTAACACCCTTAGAGAGCAGTCAGGGCCCAGGACAGTCTGACATTGGTATGTATTCTCAGCAATAGTCACTGCACACTGCATTCAATTTTCTTATGAGATTCGTGGCTACTGATAGTTTCGGGTAAAGACATTGTCAGCATTCCTGTGCTAAGCTTCATGATTAAGATTATTGAATTGAATTATAAAGATGACCTTTGAGTATATTTTAAGTTCTCAACATAGTATTTGCCTTTCTAATAATATTATAATATAAATATAATTGTCATCTCCAAAAAGTCTGAGGCTCCAAACACAGTCTCCTTCCTGCTTAAGTTAGCATTAGGTATAGATTGTTATAGAGTGAAATTCAGACAGAAGGGCTGTTGAACTTGCCCCCAGCCCAACTTTGAGTGTTGTACGTGTGCGTGCATGGGTGTATTGCATACTCTTACCGTATGAAAAAGAAATAACAGAATGCTTCCTTAAGAAAATTATGAGATAGAAGGAAAAGTTCAGAGTTCTAGGCTAGTGACTTTAGTCATTCACTGCTCATATAGCAAATGTGCCTTGGGCTTGGGGCTACTGAGCCTTCAGAAAGGTTCTTGGGAAACAGTGGTTTTGTTTACTTGGTTGCTCCGCTGTTGGTGCTGGGGATTAAACCAGAGTTTCTCAATGTTGGCAAGCACTCTCCACGATGCTACAGCTCAGTCTTTTGTTTTCTTTTGGGACAGGGTGTCAATGAGTTGTCCTGGCACACGCTGAACATATGTAGCTCCTGCACACCTTGAACTCTGACTTTCCTGCCTAAGCCTCCCTAGTAGCTGGGATGACAGACTGTGTAATAAGTTCAAGCTCCTTTAAGTTTCACTGGAAGCTCAGTTCCAGGAATGCAGCCTCTGTCTTTGACTCTCAGTTGTGACATTCCAGTTGGGGTAGGGGATCCTGAATGTGAGTCATAAGCTTGTAGCCCAGGATGGCTTCAGACTTCCCGTGTAGTTGTGGCTGACCATGAGCTTCTTATCATCCTGCTGCTTCCAGATTCAGGAATTATAAGCATTTCCCTGGCTATTGGTAACATATTTCTCAGCAAAATACCTTTGAGGCGATCAAAATAATTGTATCTATAACACAGTCCTGTGTGTTTATGAATGTACAGGCCAGGGGTCAGTGTTCCTTGGTCATGCACCACGTTGTTTTTTGAGACAGGATCTCTTACTCAATTAGTGAAATTCACTGATTGAGTGAGGCTGGCTGGCCAGTGAGCCTCAGGGGTCTGAACTCAGGTCCCTGTGTGCCAGCAAGTGCTGAGCCATCTTCCTCAGAAGCCCCAGAGGGATGATGTCTCAGGAGACTTGTCTAAGTGAGATTTTGATAGGGAAGTATTTTAGCTTAGAAAAGATGTGAGAATTACTCCCAATGTTTTTCTCCCTGTTTTCTGGTACTTCTAATAAAAAAATACTTTTGGTTTTGCTGGTAGTGGAAAATAAATCATGTATGAAAGATTTACTTAATGCAGACCTACTCTTAAATAAGAATTAAGGCATTTTATGTCCTACTCTCGGACTTGGAAGTACATCATTCGTCATTTGTACTTTCCCTGTCTCACTGCGTAGTTCTGCCTGTCTCTCAGGGATAGTTAACACTCACTGTGTAAATCTGTTTCCTCAGATGAGGTTCTTTCCAGCTAGCCACACTGAAGTACACGGTGCAGTGGACAGTTGTGTATAGCTTATTACTTACTTGCCCACTTATTTCCTCCATATAAATTCCTAGGAATGAAACTGATGGGCAAAAGCCTGTACTTCTCTAAATGTATTTATAATGTATAATAATGTATAAATGTATTTATAATATATTTATAGCTTTTTATGAAATTGTACTGCCCATTGCCTGTATAATGGACAGTGTCTATTTTTCTCTATTTCCCTAGTATTTCTAATTTTCAGTATATCTGCAAATCTGATATCTGTTACCTTTCTTTTTCTGTGTGCATTTCTTTATTGAGTTTGAAAAAAGCCTGTAGCATGAGCAGTATCATTTAAAGGGAGCTGATGACTTTGGATTTGCATATTCTTAGGATTCTCGTAGAGCCTCAGATATTAAAATGGCAGTTATAAGAAGTAAACTCAATAATAACTGAGTACATGATCATAGAACCCCTTTAATATTTATGTTCCCTATAAATACATGTATCATCGATTTTTCAGTTCTTTTATTAACCTCCCCTTCCTCAGAGAGCCTTTCAGGCATTTTCCTTCTAACTGCATTCTGGGATGTTTTGATATTGTCACTTTGAAGGACATGAATTCATGCATTAAGATTTTGTTGACCATTCAAAAGACATTGGCATAAATACTGCCTGGGTTGAATGCATGGTGTGTGTGTGTGTGTGTGTGTGTGTGTGTGTGTGTGTGTGTGTGTG